CATGAGCAAGCACTTGGCGACGGCCAAGATACAGTTAAAAGAGGGAAATTACGCAGATCATTTCATGTCTTATTTTCAAACAAATTCACAGTTTCACTCTTACTCAACCAGACAGTCATTTGATAGTCATCCTCCCAAACGTCTTGCAAGCAGAAGTCAAGGTTCAGTCAGAGACAGGAACTCTTTTTCCTGTTTGGTTAAAATGATATTTTCCATAAACTCCTACAGAGCATATTTACTGTAATTTTATTATATAAATAATACATGTTAAAATGGTTAAAAACTATTACTGAGACATTATACAAATTATCATTTGTTTAGATCATTATTTGGTTAAAAGCATCAGGTTATGTGAGCAAAGATCTAAAGAAGGAAAGAAATAACGAGCGTAATATGAATTTTTAATTAAAGTGAAGCTTATCTACCTAGTAGCTGTCAGGAAATGTTATTGTTGATTGATTAGCTATATCTGCAGACGTCCAGAAGAGGGACCTCTCACAGCGATTGCTTCTTTCTTTCTTTTCTTGTGAAACTCAGCTAAATGCATACATCTATAGAGTTTAGTGTTCACAAACGTCATAGCTATAGGGAATTGGAATATTACGTCATCAAGAGCGTGTTGGACATTTTTGGACACCAACTGTGATCTGCACACCGCCACGACCTGTCAAGCTAGGTAGCCTCAATCAATTCAACAGTAAACACTGTTGTCAAGCCAACAGACAACTGCACAAGTATTAGATCCTGGGATTACTTTTCATTCTTCCCAACAGTCTAAACAAGGGAGGGAATTAAAATGTTATCTAACAGCTAGGTCGCTATAACGTAAGCATAGTTTTACTGACCAATTCTTTTTATACAACTATATGGTGCAGCGTTATTTATAAAGGTGTAAAGGTTTACCAATTCAAGTCGGAAATTGGTTTTAACGTTATGGATGCAACTACATTGGTACGCAGGCAACTGGATCAATCTAAATGTACCATGAACTGGTAGATGGTATGTTTGTTTGGAAGACATTTGGATTCTATAAGAAGAAAGGAAAGTTGGATAAGTCTATCCATTTGTAAGATGTGTCGGACAGCAATGACGTACAGATTGGATCATATCACATAGAATCGCACCAGATTGTTCTATACTAAAATGCATTGTCCCTGAATTGTATGATAACCCATGTATATTATATATATAAATGTATGGATTGTCTTAGAAGGGAGATTTGCCTTTGTGCTTCTCTGCGCTCTATCTATCTCTCTTTCTCTATGAATGTATGTTAGTTGTTTTGCTGAACATCCTTACTGACAGTCAGGACAAAACTTAGTACCAGCCATCAGCCAAATGCTGGTAAAATATGTCTATCACGTGTACTTTTCTTATACATTTCTGATAATGAACAATTCATAGATGACAGCTAAAGTTACCATAGCTTGACAATCAGTGGTAGCTAGGCGAATTGAGGGAAGATGCCATCCCCGAGGTTAACCTGACAACCACCCTCTCCATCCGTTAGTACCAAGCTAACTGATAAGTAGACTGCAGTCCGTGTCTGGACCCAGACTCCATCCTATAACTAGACCTATAACTGACAAATTATTGAAAATTATTTCATTTTTACACAACCTTTCTATTTTAACTGTCGCAAGGTTTCTATCCTTAATGGCATTGGTTTAACGGCCAAACTCACAGATCCATTGCAGTGTGCAATGTTTGTAAATCATTTCACGTGTTACTCAGCCAATCAAATCTGTACATTCCAATAAACATTACATCAGGAGAGACAACAGCTACAATGTAAAATATAAATAAATAAGTGAAATAAGTGAGTCAGAGAAAAGTAATTTCACATGGTCAGTTTTGAGAAGAACCATTTTTCTCATCACTAGGGTTCTCCCATTGGGCCATCCAACCTGTTAAAAATTAACAATCGGCCACTGATGGTAGCTACATATGCTATCCTCAAAATCCTATCCTAAAAATGGCTGATGTTGATATTTTGAACTGTTGTGTTAGATGCATTTATATACTATATGTCATGAATGCATTATGTTATATTTAATGTTACAATGTAGAAAGTAATGGTTATTTGAGTTATTTGTAGAAAAAGCAGACTCACATACCAGTCAGCTCTCACGGGAAATGTGTATAGGCTACCATTTTCTTTGGTTACTGGGGTAATTCCTTGGATCGTTCATATGTTACTCAACTAAACATTTAAAGGAGCTGCATACACTGAGATAATTCAGTTATTTTCACAATCATAGTGAACATAGTCTTATTATGAACATGATTGTTCTTGAGTTGTTTCATTAATATGTTTTTCTGTTCAGAAATATATTCATAAAGATGCCAGAGAGTGAACATCGTGTGTGGACATCTTTATTGATTCTCTGCCTTTTCAGGATGTTACACCTGCACATTAATTTTTGTTGCTATTTGTGTGACATTTGGCTGGAATGTTCTGGCTCCAGCCTTGCTAACAAAGAAGTGTTTTCACCGTAAATACAGTCATACCTACTTGGCTTTTTATGAAAATACAAAAACCCCAGATGGAGATCTGCAGGTTTAAGGATTCATCAGGATTCATTCTGTTGAGTGTCTTATTTTACTGCAAAAACAAAACTAGGAAGCTTCCTAAAAGGGAAGTGTAGGATGTACCTTGTAATTACAACAATCCCCGAATTTCTCAACATGAAACCAACATCTGTTTTACCTGAAATGATGGCAGTTTCAACACTGAAATTACATTTTGATTGTTGAGCTTTTCATCCTTTTTAAGGAATGTTTGATCCCTGGCTAAAATTAATTTAGGAAAGTGCACTTTTTTACAACAAGTGGCCACAATCTTGTGGAAAACTCCTCACTCCAACTCTGAATTTACAGACAGCGAAGCAGCAACAGGCAAATATTTCATCACTGATATATTGACACGAACATCTCAACACAGCAGAACAGTGCGAGGGAAATAAACACACATCTGTATAACAAAAAATATTCATAATAAATAAAGACATAAAGTGAACAACTCATACACACACATCATTTCGGAATATTAATAACAGCAATTTCTATACATTTGTACAAAAATAGAATCATCAGAGTTGTCAAAAGTCTCGTTCAAGATAAAAAAAATAAATATTTGCTCCAAGATCACAACAGTATTTTTGAAAGTTCATTTGTCAGACAGAAAACACATCACTGCAACTGAAACTGTGTTTTTATACTTGAGTATTAATGTTCAGTTTAAACTCTGATGTCTGTAGAATAGCGGAGCTTTATATTTTCATAAAAAATCTGATTTATTTTCTTTCTTTGCAGTTACATGTTTTTCTGTCTGCAATTTACAAACTGTAACATAACACAGAAGTTTTGACTGGACAAAAAAATAAAGGGATCATTAGTATCACACTGCATTAACAACAACACGTCTACTTATATTTTGTTTAGTGAATTTGCCCGTGGACTGAGATATTAAAGGGCCGATCTGTCAGTTTTTTCCCCATCTGAGGTGTATTCACACAAATAACTTGAGTAAAGTGAGAAAATGTGCAGTTATTGAACAATATCACACTCTCAAAAGTGTGAGTGTTTTCATTATATCACAGCAACACAATATCCTGTTCTCTGATTGGCTGACAGGTGCCTGCTAAAATCTTATATGGACTTTTCAAACATAGTACAGTTGAACCACTGTTCTAAATCAGACCTTAAACTATACTACACTGCAGGTAACCATGGCAACAGTACTGATGCTTCAGTCTCTGTTAGCGGTGAGCTCACTCAATGATCTCTACAACCTCCTCAAGGACCTCAGGAACCTACTCAAGGACCTCTATTAACCTCCCCATTAAGAGCGTTACTCCATCCCCAAGGCCATCTTTACCCTTCTCAAGGACCTCTGCTGACTTCTGGCAGACCTCAGGAACCCCCTCAAGGCCCTTTACAACCTCCTAAAGGACTTGAAACCCCATCAAAGATCTCTATAATCTCATCAAGGTCTTTAGAAACCCCTTCAGAAACCTCTACAACCTCATCAGAGACATAAGGAGCTCCCTCAAGAACCTCCGAAATATCCTCATAGACCTCAAGAACCCCTTAAGGGCCACAGCTAGGCTTTAGAGCTCTGCTTCTTTCTGTTTGTTTTTAGTTTTGTTTATTTGTTTCTTTCTTTCTTTCTTTTTTACACTACAAAAATATATCCAAGTTATTAAGTAATTTAACCTGAAATGGAGTCTTAAAGGTGTTTTCTTACCAAAGCAGGTGGAACACATCATATTCCCCTGAGAAAATGTTTGCGTAAACAAAATCAACTTCCATAAGGAATGTTCTGTACACTAGAACCAGCGGCAGAGATACTGTTCTGCCTTTTATAAAGTCTTTAATCTGTGGAAGCCCATTACTGCCAGGGAGGAAGAAAGCAAGGTAAAGTAAAAAATAAAGTAAAAAAGTTTATATTTTTTAAGTCAAAATGACAAAATAGTTGTTCAAATCCTGACATATAAGATTATGAGTATTTTTATTTTCATCATTCCTAACATTTCATCTTTTTTCTCTTTCCTTGACAGAAATGTGCTTCCATACAAACCTGCAAGAAACAAAACAAAATAAATTGAGTTGTGAAATTATACTTTTTACTGTGTACTGTAGGTAAAGGAATAACAAGTATTAACATTATTATTATCAAAATAATAAATATAATTCAATAGTCATACCTTGTTTGCACAATATTATGTGAAATGAAAATAAATGAGATATGAAGCATTATTTTTCATCTTCATTTACATTAATAATAAGATTTCTTCTGCTATAGAAACTATGAATGTAAACAACCAGTCAAATACGTAGACGTAAGTTTTTTTTAAACTGCTGTCGGAAGTGAAATTCTTTCCCCACACCAGGGTTTTATTCTACTAGTTGAAAAGTAAAAAATCTAAATCTAAATGAGAGATTAAAACTCTCATTAATTTAAATTAAAGTAAACATGAGTCTGCTTTCCACACTCGAACCACATGCAGTCGTCCTCACTGGCAGATCTGAAATTGAACATTTCCCTTCAGCCCTGATTCCCGAAAGATCCAGAGAAAGTGAGAAAAGTTTCCACCAGAAGAGCAGAACAACAGAACTTCAAACTCTAACTTTTAAGGTTTTCTGACTTCCAGCAGCAACAGACAGAAAACACAGAAACACAATTGAAAAGTCACTGGATTATTACCAACCACAGCTGAACTTCAGTTACAGACAAGAGATTGTAGTAATCAGATTACATTAATCTATCACAGTTACCATGAAGAGTTACTGTAAAAACTGAGTTATCAAAGTGGATCTGTTTTTAAGTGATTTAGGTGCGTTAACACACAGTTGGATGTAAAAAGTAAAGAGAATACTGTAATCAGATTACAGAACAAACTGCAGCATCAACTGCTGTAAATTTGAAAACACTGATTATCAGAAATTATGACAAGAATATTCAAATTACAGACCTCATTCTGTAGCTTTAAGTAATCAGATTACTTGATACTGTTTTCCACATAAATCGTTATCTTCACTGTAAAAAAATGTTCATTTTAACGTGATTTATTCAAACAATGTTTTTACTAAAAATGAAAAAAAAAAATCATTGCTCGGAAATAATTCCCACAATTTCCAGTACACTTTATTAACCGAGATGTAATCTGAAAATAAAGAATATTGTCATGAGCTGTTCAAACCGTACAAAATCTTTTGTACCGGAAACTTGATAATCTGTCCATGAATTCATTTCACCTATCCAATAAATGTTTCTCTTCAAACATGTCAAACCCTGCTTCTAAACAGTCTCTTCAAATGAAATCTGTCACCATGTCTTTGAAAAAATCCTAGTCAACATTCAAATTATCCAAATTTGAACTTCAGGGACTCCATCTCTGGCTGACTGACTGACGGTGGTTTACGGGGCTACATAAATCCCGTTAAACATCCATCTGTCCTGCTGAGGCGTCGTTGACACCTCAATCTCTGCTCGCTCTGACCGAGAGTGCGAGCGAAACGCCAAAATCGTAAAAGTAAACCCTTGGCCTCTCGGCTTATTTTCACACCCCATGTCCCGCCGCTTCAGCAGCTGGAGTCCTCGCTGGCGGTGCCCCCACCTCCACCGTTGGACTTGGTGGCCGATCCGACGGCAATCTGGCAGCCATTGGTCACGTGACTCATGACCTTCTGTTTGAGCTGAGCGACCTGCTCCCGCAGCATGGCAGCAGTGGAGGCCAGGTCAGAGTTCTGGCTCTTCAAGACCTTCACCTTCTCCTCCAGCCGTGAGATCCGCTCTAGCTTCCGCTTGCGGCACTTGGATGCGGCAATGCGGTTGCGGAGCTTCTTGCGTTCCGCCTTAATTCGCTCCTGCGTCTCCAGGTCAATCGGGGAGAGGGAAGGTGGCGACGTGGGGTCGCCCGCCGGGTGAGGCACCTCAGGGACGGTCTGAGGGGTGTCCAGGCCTCGGGCGTGATGCTGAGGGGCTCCGCCACCACCATGTCCCGAACCACTACCGTACGCCATCTGCGCTCCAGAGTACACCATCTGACCTGGGTTGTAGCTGCTGAGGTTGGTGTAGACTGGCATGTCCCCACTGGACATCAGGTTCCTCTGGTAGGATGCCTGCAGGGAGACAGTGGAGGATGAAGATGGGGACATGGGGCCGCCTCCCACCAGTTGGTTCTGCTTGTGAAGGTCAGCAAGCGCTTTGACAAAGCCATCAGCAAATCCTTCTTGCTCGTTGGTGGCCTGGTTGCGGTACATGAATGGGTTGGTGGAATTGGACACAGGGCTAGTGGTGACCAAACCCTGGTTGGACTGGATGATCAGGTGCTCCAGGTCGGGGGACCCCAGTTTCAGCAGGTTCATGTCCGCCGAGGGTGCGGCTGATGTCATCAGGGAGCTGTTGCCAGTGAGCCCCAGGTTGTTGGGGTTCCCGCCCCTCCCTACCGCTGCACCACCGCCAAAGTGATGATTGCCCGCCATTGACATGACCTTCTTACTCATCAGCATCTTGTTTCCCGGGTAACGTTCGTATTCTGCGATCTGGCTGTAGCCAGGGACGGTGGGGGAGTCGTCGTGGTAGAAAGGAGTCTCCATCTTGGCCGTCATTGACAAAGAGGCGTCTCAGAGGGAATCTTCATAATCAGATTAACCTGAATATCAGAAGGGATTGAAACGTTCCACTGACGTCGGCGGCTGGAGGATGTAGGCAGGACGAAGAGAAGAAGAGAAGAAGTAGAAGAAGAAGAAGAGAAGACATGCACCTGCAGGATAAACAAACATGTGTGTGAGAGAATGAGGAGGACTGAAAGATTACTCAGGTGTAAACTGGGAGGTGGTGTTAAGACTACTGATACTGCTGTATGTGTGTGTGTATTTCTGTATATGTTATGTATATATTGTGTGTGAGAGGTGAGATTGACCTGATTGGACAATAAAGCTCTGCTGTATACTACTGTCAGTTTCACTGTTATCTCTCTATCTCAGTCAGTTGAATTTAGTCTTTCAAATGGGACAGTTAGGTTAACTGAAGGGGATGTGGTTGAAAGCTCTGGAAGAAGCCATAGTGGACCCTGAGTATAAAGTCAGGATTGAACCTTAAAGCTCATTATGCATTCATGTCTTTACTTCACGTCTTACTTGCACATTTCACACAGGATTGTGTCTCACATGAATGTGCATCCTCGTGTGTGTGCATGAAACATTAACAAAAGGGGACCCACTCATAAACACACTGCTCAGACGCTTCAGATGTTGTTAAACCAGTCCAAACCAGTGAGAAGAGCACAAAAAAAATTGTTGTGTTTATGTATGACCATACAGATCATAATAAGTGAGAAAATGTATTTTCAGGAATTTGAGGTTAAATTCACTACCACTAGATGTTGCACTAGAGTCCATTTGTGTTGGTGTATGGTGGTGCTAGGATCACTCCGCTAACAGAATATATGTCCTCACCAACACCGGTTTTGTCAATAATAAACCCTTACTTCATGGAGTTAGATATTCTATGCTATGGCTACAATGTAACCTTAACTAATCCTTGGGAACACATACGTCGACTAAAAGTTGTTGTTTTCGCCACTGACAGGCTCAGATTGTTATTATTAAGAGTCTGACAACATTATGGAAAGGATCTCTACAGAGATGGACCTTTTTGTTTAACCATTAACAGCTATTGCTCACCACCAGACTCCATAGACAAAAACTGTAATTTGCCTGGCAGATCATCGTAACATTATAACTTCATTCAGTAGTTATAGTAATATATATAGTAAGTAGACAGAAACAAAATTAAACTCACTAAACAGTCTCTGTTAGTCTTTCCACTGTTCCAACAATCACTAACTCTGGTTTGGTCGAAATAAATCATTAATTCATCGACATTGATGAGAAAGCAATCACTCAAAGCCAACAGTTTCATACGGAGGGACTCCGACGTTCGCAAAAATGCACAGCTGGGACGGCTGTATAAACAAAGCACATAACAGCTTGGAGAACCACACACACAGAAGGAGTGTGTTGCTCAGGACACCATAACTCCACTCTGTCTATACATTATATTTGCTGCTAAAATAACAAAACCTCATAACCTTTAAGTATAATTCTGAGTATAGCCTGACCAAAATCTGACAGTTTAAAAAATCTGATGATGGTATATCACATCATGATATTAACAATATTGTGCATATTGACGTATATATGTGCAGAAGCAACACACATGACAAAAGTATCATTGCTGCTCACTCACTGCCAACGCGTCAAATACTGCCACTTGGTCAATGAGCTCTGCTTCAAAATATGTCGCTGTAGGTATCCCTCCTACACGCATAGCTCCGTGGTCAAGTTCGCAATAGTAAATAACAAACGCTTGGTTGGACTTTCAAAATTAAGCTTGCATGCTTTATGTTGTGACAAGGTTGCAGTTTGGTTAGGGTTCAGGCACAAAACTACTTGATTAGGATTAGGAATATGTTATCGTAAGCTACGTTATGTACCTGACATAACTTTAGTAAAACATAATTTATGTAATGCACCTGACACAACTTAAGTTGGCTACATTGCATAAGTTAATTTATGTACGTTAAAAATAAATCATTTACTTCTAGGGTGCCCTGGTAGCTCACCTGGCAGAGTTGGCGCCACATGTACCAAGGCTTCCTTGCCAGGGCCCAGGGGTTCAACTCCAGCCTGTGGCCCTTTGCTGCATGTGCAGCGGAGACCATTGGTGAAAAAAATTACTCTGATTGGCTGTTCAACTTAATCGAATCAGGGAACGAGAGAGAAATGGAAGTGACGACTTCATCAAAAGTGGCACGCAAGAATGGATTATGTCATCTTTCAATTTCATCTCATCCGACCACTCACATATACCAATATTTTCACAACAAGCAGCTGTTTTACAAAACCGACTGGGTGAGACCACTCAAACCGACATCCAGCTGCTTTTGTTTATATCTGCATTCCCAGGTCTTCCTATGTTTTTTTTTAAATGAGGAACGCAAACTACTGCCACTATAATCCAGTTTTTACCTCATGCGCAGGCACAGAACGTACGTGCTAGTTGGCCGTTCACTGCAGACGGTGTGTTCTAGTGTGACTTTTTGGCCAAGACACAGGCAACGTGAGTTCTTTGTTGTCTGAGGGTACATCACACAACAAACCACACATACTCCGGCACATACAAGTTTTTATGACATAAACCGCTCATTACCCACATTTAGGGAGGGATGTGCAGTGTAAAGAAAATGTCACCGCACATGAAGAGGAGCACAAACACCAGGATGGAGTTAGTGTGACAGTCACCAGCTGCATCCAGTTGATGAGCTGTAGTTGGCTGACTAACATCAGTACAGCTGCTCAGTTTGGATCAAGAACCACAACTCTGACTGCTTCTCCAAAAGAGTCCACCATGTAACACAAACACAATGCAGGAGCTGGCTGTATAACTTTTTTATAGGTTTTTTTCATATTGCCATAAATAGTCTTATTATTGCATAAATATCTTGCAAAACACACATTACACACCACTACTTGTCAGTGCTCTCTGGTGGACAAACGATGTAACTGCAACACTGTTTCTAAATGACCTCCAACAACTTAGATACACCAATTCTGATACAGTTTGTATTCAATAAGCTGATATCAGACGATATAAAGGCCGGCCAGTTTATCGGTCTAGTTCTAAGGTACTTTGCTTGAGTAATTCTGTTTCCTGTTGCTTTATACTTCTACTATACACTTCAGAGGGAAATGCACTGCGCTTTATAGGCTACTATATATACATTGATTTGACAGCAGGAGTTCCTTTCAGATATATTCTACACACAAAGTAAATGTTCAGTTCATAAAATTGGATTAAATAACCCAACAGTGTTACAACATTAAAATACTGCTTACATGTTAATCCAACAATAATAATCCAATCATATATAATGATATACCAGATAAATATGTATCACATCATTCCACAGCCCATTATGAATAAGAAACAATCATTAATCATTAGTTTCCTTCAGAGGTTGAATTAGACAGACAGTGCTAACCTCTCAATATAGAAACAGTTTGATCTCTCCACTCCTCTATCAGATGTTCAACCCCGCTGTAAACGCGTTAAAGTTCCCGGTACGGCCGTTAACTTCACACCGGGAGAGAACAGCAGCGCGATCCGATGGATGAACGCAAGCATCGGGACTAACTAACGAACCGAAGCGGATGGCTCCATCTGAAACAGCCGCTTTACTGCCGAACACAGCGGCTGGACGTCCATCTGAACTCTTAAAATGTTTGATAAAGGTTCATACTCACAGAGAGACACAGAGAGCTGCTGACCGATCCGAGAGCAGACAGAGTGAGTCAGAGAGAGAGAGAGAGAGACTGAACGCACACACACACACACACACACTCTCTCTCTCTCTCCCTCTCCATCATAGTGACTCACTCTGACGTTTTCTTTATTAGATTATTAACACATTTCTAATGAAGTCATTTATTTACAGGGCCATGTTGGAAATGTCATATTACTATTTGCTTTTCTATGTTGCTTTAATTATCTTTAGTGTATTTAAATGATTAAATTACCATCACTCAAGTTCATCTAAATTACCTAAACTGGAAGAGTGAAGATCTGGAGACCAGGGAGTGCAGGGCAGGCTG